AAAAAGCGACTTGGTGTCATAGCATAGAATCCATTATAAAAGTGGTAAGGCTTTTTATGAGTTAGCAAGAGAAGTGCCATCAGATTTAATCGTTTTTTTCTATAATATGCACCAAGTCAGCCCCTTCTACAAACACCTATTAATAAAGCGTTTTATGCTCAACAATTTGGGTTTTTACGTTTTATGCTGTGTCGACATGCACTATAAAAGTCTCGTATTCTACACAAGCATGGAAGATATGGCTGGACGAGAATCGATGAAGGTATCAGCTGTTTTACTTTGTCATCTAGATTTAATAAATCTTGAAAATACACAAAAAGTTTATTTATTTGGTCACAGATGTGAAGAGTAAAATAAAAACGCCCATATCATTCATGCTTTTTATTATTGGCTGAAGAAAAAATCACCTGAAAACTGAAAGCCATCTTACGTTTCCTGTTGGAGGTCACAGCTGCTTACCAGCTGACAAAGTATTTGGACGCGTTGAAGAAGCCTGTGTTTCTTTAATGACAAAAGAAGAATATAAAGAAATGCACCGCTCTTTTAAAGTTGTAAAATCCTTTTGTCTCATTGAACTCTGTATGATGTTGAACAATTGAAATCATATTTCTTAAATTTCATATTTAAGAAAAATCATCCTTCACCAATAACCATTATTTGTTTTAAACACTTTGTTCGAAAGTAACTCTTAAGTTTTCAAAACGTTACTTAAGAAAGGTGAAAAAACTCACAGTTAACACTCGAAACCGCGAGATTGGGAAGACCACTAAAAGAAAAGAGAACAACAGAGAAAAAACATCGTTAAAACATATACTGATACAAGAATTTGCAAAAACGTAGGAAGAAAAAAAAGACCTTAAATTGTTTAAGGACATTCTAGAAAACATTCTAGTTTTTCTTGTAACATGTTCTTTTGCTTTGTACATGTCATAAATGATATTTCTGATTGAGCTTTTATTACCTTGTGGCAAGTCGAGGGATGCAAACCAATCCTTTTATTTGTCTTACTTAATTCCTCCTTTCTGAAATTCCACAAGCTGGCACTTGTCCTTTTTTGAACTGCCAGTACTGATGTAATGGGTCCCATGTTGATTTTTTCTAAAGTAAAATAATTTTCCACTTTCAACAGAATTCGACGCTGACTCGAGAGATATAAACTTATATTTAGGTGTTCTATCGTTTTCCTTGTCATCCATTGTCCATGCATTAAATTTGCGTTTTTTCACGATTTATAAAAAAAATTGTTTTGGTAGCGCTGATTTATCCTCAAGTACTACAGCCGACCAGTAAGAGGTTCGGTACCACAAAGCAGGTAGAAAAGGGAAAGCATAACAGAGTGGCTGTAACTAGAGTCATAAATTATTTTTCGGGCGTTAATCCGAAATACGACAGGGTAAAACGTCTTCACTATTACTATTGACCAAGATAACTAACCTCGTGAATAGCCTTCCTCAACAAATTCTTTAAAAAAACCCTTAAAAACTGGATGCACCTGTTAAGTTGCAAACAAACACACGGCGTAAAAACTAGATAATAATAACTGCGAGAGATGACAGCTAGACCAATGTTGCCAAATTTAAATGTAAATAAATTTATTTCCTAATAGTTTCTGAAAATCTTTCAGATTTTTGTGAAAGTGGCCAATCACTAGTGACCGGCCAACAACTGTATTACCCGTTACCCTATTTACTTATTTAGCAAAATAATATAAAACCGACCACTGGTTAAGAAAAAACAATAAATCCATTTATATGGAGCAAAATGCTATAAAACCACAATGTTTAAGCAAACTGAGATAAATCCAACAAAATGAAAGCTTTAAAAGTCGGAAGCTCCAAAATCGAACACAAAAAGTTAACAAAATCCAACTTTTTGTCAGAAGAATGTTATTAATAAAGTTCTAGAGTCAATAAAATATTTACTTTTAACTAGATTTAATTCAAGTTTTCTGTCGTTAACTCAAAATCATTTTGGATTTAATACGTTTCACCCTGTTGCTCCTCATTTGTTTCAATAGCCATATTTTTATACAAAAAAGATATGATTAGTGTTTATGCAAAGAGTTATAATTTGCATTGTATATTTATATAATAATTGTATATCCCTGCTGTCCTGTTCGGGTCTATTTGACCCAAAAAAAAAATTATTTCTTATTTTACAAATTATTACGCGGCGTAACGTTTTGGTGTTTCGTGACTTTATTACTTAATATGAGGTCTTTCAATTGCATAAAAGATAAAAAATCAACTTGCTCATTTTTTTGATAAAAATTAAATTGTTACCTATGGTACGCTCGGGTCAATATGACCGACTTATTTAAACCGTTAAAAATTACCTGTATAGGTATGTTTAGTTGGTAGTATTTTATATTTTCTAATAGTGTTTGTCAGTCAGGTACGTCTATAAATAAAAACAAGTTTTACAAGCTAGAACTTGTAAAATATGTGTAGTGTAGCTGGACGATGTCAGGTAGAATGGCATGTCACGTAAAAGGAAGTGGGGGTGATAGACAAGTGGTAAAACACTAATATTCCAAGGCCAAGCGCATTCATTTATTCGTTTATATTTCAAATTTCAGTCTATGTTTGCATGTTGATAATGTCGCACCATAGAGCGCTAACCGAAGATGAGCTTCGCGAGCTCGCGAACGTGTCAGAGAGTGATGAGTGCATATCAGAAACAGAAAACAATACAAGTAGTGAGAGTGAGGAAGAAAGTAGTGATGAATCCTTTGGTGTTCCATTCTACGTACAACATCCTGTAGAACCTTCTGTAACGGTTCCTTCAAAAGACGATACTATCCAATGGTCGCTCGATCCTCCTTATCAACGCGGTCGTTTTTCTACGGCCAATGTTATAAATAAAGCTCCAGGAGTTACAAGGTACGCATGTGCACGAATTTTCGATATTAAAAATTCATTTGACGCACTCTTTTCTGACATAGTTGCAAACCAAATTATAAATATGACCAACATGGAAGGACAGCGTGTTTTTGGAAACAACTGGAAAGACTTAGATAAAATTGGTTTTCAAGCATACATTGGTCTGTTATTGTTAGCTGGAGTTTTTAAGTCCCATGGTGAATCAACTAAAAGTTTGTGGAATGAAGAAACGGGTCGTAGTATATTTCGAGCAACAATGTCCCTTGAAGTATTTACAAAAATTTCGCAAGTAATACGTTTTGATAACAAGACTACTAGACAGGATAGGAGACGTACTGATAAACTTGCTGCAATACGTGAAATTTGGGAAAAATGGGTTGAAAATCTACCAAAATTTTTTAACCCTGATGAAAATGTTACCGTCGACGAGCAATTAGTTGCCTTTAGAGGCCGCTGTCCATTCAAACAGTACATTCCAAGCAAGCCAGCGAAATATGGCATAAAAATTTGGGCCTTATGTGACAGTAAAAGTTCTTATGCTCTAAAATTGCAGATCTATACAGGAAAGGAAGCAGGTGCCGCGCCAGAACGAAATCAGGGAATGCGTGTGGTGTGCGACTTGAGTAGTGATTTAAAAGGCCACAATATTACATGTGATAACTTTTTTACATCGTACAATTTAGGACAACTTCTTCTAAAAAGAAAAAATACAATGCTGGGGACTATAAGAAAAAATAAACGAGAGCTTCCAGCACAAATTGCGAATAAAGAAGTTCATAGTTCGTCTTTTTACTTCACACAAGATACCACTGTTGTTAACTATATTCCTAAAAAGAATAAAAATGTTATTCTTATGAGTACTTTGCATCATGAAAAGGCTATTAGTGACAGAAATGACAAGAAGCCCCAAATTATTTTAGATTACAATTCCAGTAAGGGGGCAGTGGATACTCTAGATCAGCTTGTTGGTACATATACATGTAAGAGGAAGACAAATCGCTGGCCCATGATTGTTTTTTACAATATGCTGGACATTTCTGCCTACAACGCGTTCGTTTTATGGACATCGATAAATCCCCAATGGAATACCAATAAACTTACAAAACGACGAATTTTTCTTGAGGAGTTGGGAAAAACACTGGTGAAACCACTTATCCTTTCCAGGAAAAAATTACCGAGAACTAAAGACTCACAAGAACTGGTAAAAAGAACACGAGCAGAAGCGAGTAGAGAAGATGGAAATTCTAGTGAACCGTCTATGGACCATCCAACTCCGCCTGCTAAACGAGCACGCTGTAAATTTTGCTCTAAAAGGGATAACAAGACTAATATTTTATGTTGTATATGTCATAAACATATTTGTAAAACCCATTCTTTCTATTACTGTCCCAGTTGTAAACTGAATTAAATTTTGTAGATATTTGTTCTTAGGGTTTTCTGGGAAAGAAAAAATGCTTTTTATTTTTGTTAATAAGGTTTAATTTACAGTAACAATATAATTATTGTTTAATTAACTATAATTTTTTATTAATACAGTTTTGTTTAGCACCATTAGCTTATTTTATTTCTATTAGGGAGCGTAAATCATAGTTGGGTCATATTGACCCGAACAGTACATTTGTGTAGTTTACTCGAACGGTACAGCAGGGATATTTATCAATTAGGTACATTAAATCCCAAAATTTTTTTTGCAGCAGTATAATTTAAATGGTAATCACTATTTTTATTTTAGTTTATTTTTTTTTTAATTTTTTAATATATTATGTTCTCGTAATTTTATAAAAGTATCGTCAAATTATAATTTTATTTTTTTGATTTGAACATTACTATATTAATTACATTAACAAAAATTTTATTTTGCTTCTTTCATAATTTATATTACTTTGCTACACAGTTGCACAATAATATTCCAAATGATTAGTTTAGTCTGATGTTTGATATTTATCATTTTTCTTTTCAAGTATATAAAACTGGAAATAAAAAAAATTGAACGTCAATTGGAGAATTCGTTACGGATGCTATCCTTAACTTTTTGTTTGATTGTTGAAGGTATCAGTGCGCGCTCCCACCAAACTGTTCGCCTTTTTGACGCCCTTGGCCATTGAAATATGGTTATACATGGTAGCTGGATACGTTCTTGTTTCTTTAACGATCTGGATCGCTGCCAGAGTTTCTCCGAAAGAATGGAGAGAGATCGAGCCGTGCGAGGAGTGCCTATGGAAAAAATATGGAGAAGAGTGCGAACACCTCTCTTGTGAGGGCACTTCTGGAATATGCAGCGACGAATCCGAGGATGAAATTTCAGAAATAGATCATTTCGGAGAATGTATTGAAAAAGTGCCGAGTAGGATGAATTACAAGGTTGTCAAGTTTTTATCTCAGATTAATTGCACATAATTTTTAATATATGCACACATTGATATTTATCATACATTTATATTATTAAATCTAATGTCCCAAATTTGGGAATTTTGCTTTTTAGAATTATTTAACTTTATTAAAAATAAAAAAATATATAAAGTGAAGTATTCTTAAAATTATCTTAATTATAGAATTATTTTCTTAATAACCTTGCGTATAATATCATCATCATCAGTGGTGCTACAGCTCTAGTTGAGCCTTGACCTTCCCCAGTCTATTTCGCCAGTCGTTTCTGTTCATCGCCAACCGTTGCCAATTTGCCGCGCCGATTTTCCTTGCGTCCTCGTCCACACCGTCCCTCCATCTCAGTCGTGGTCTGCCTCTACTCCTATTTCCCACTGGGACCGATAATAGAGTTCGTCTGGGTGGGTAATTTTCATTTGCTCTTGACACATGTCCAGCCATCTAAGCCTACCTATTTTTATGAAGGATATTACATCTCTACCATTTACTATTTTTTTATACTTCTCGTACAATTCGAAATTATATCGCCTTCTCCAAATACCATTCTCACAGAATGCGCCCATTATTCTTCTTAGTATCTTCCTTTCGAAGACGAGCAGAAGATTTGCGTCTGTTTTGGAGATGGTCCATGTTTCTGACCCATATGTCAGCACTGGTAGGATGAGTGTTCGATATATTATTAGTTTGGTTTTCTGGCTTAAATTTCTGTTTTTTAGCTGCTTGCTTAGTCCAAAATAACATTTGTTTGCTAGCAGTACCCTCCGTTTAACTTCTTCAGATGTGTCATTATCGTTTGTTATGAGAGAACCCAAATATGTAAACTTATTTACTACCTCAAAATTATATTGGTCTATACTGAAGTTTTGTTCGGCGTTTCTAGCTCTATCTCTGTTATTTGGAATAGTTGCTAACATTTTGGTTTTTTCCTCGTTTATTTTAAGGCCCATATTTTGTGCGGCTGTCAAGAAGGTGGAAGTCATCTCTTTAAGTCCTCGTGTAGTACGTGCGATCAAATCCAGATCGTCAGCGTAAGCCATAATCTGCGTTGATTTATTAAAGATTGTTCCCCTATTGTGTAACTCGGCATCTCTTATAGTCTTTTCTAACGCTATATTAAAGAGAAGGCACGCCAGCGCGTCTCCCTGCCGTAACCCTGCATATGTTTCAAACGCTTGTGACATATCGCCTTGTATTTGCACTCTGCAGATCACTTTACTCATAGTTGTTTTTACGAGCCTTATTAATTTATGGGGAATGTTAAGTTCATTCATGGCTTCGTATAATTTACCTCTTAGGACGCTATCATACGCTGACTTAAAGTCCACAAAGAGATGGAACGTGTCAATATTAAATTCATTGGTTTTTTCTAAGATTTGACGTAGCACAAAAATCTGGTCAATTGTTGACCTACCTGGCCTAAAACCGCTTTGATACTCACCAAGGATTTCTTCCACGTACGTACTTAAACGGCTGTACAGGGTGTTGGAGAATATTTTGTACATTGTATTCAGAAGAGTTATACCCCTATAATTTTTACATTCCAACAAATCTCCCTTTTTGTGCAGTGGACATATGATTCCAGTGCACCATTCCTCTGGCATTTGTTCTTCTTCCCAGACTTTGACTATTATGTTGTGAATTTGGTGCATAATGCTGTTACCTCCATGTTTGATGAGCTCTGCGGGGATACAATCCACTCCTGGGGACCTGCTATTTTTGAGTCGTGTGATTGCGTCTTTCACTTCAAATATTGAAGGAGGTTCTACGTGAGTGTTATTTCTTGGTCTTTGGGGTGACGCATCATTTTCCACTTCGGTACCAAGTAGTTCTTTGAAGTGCTCAACCCATCTGCTTTGTACTGCGTCAGCGGTACTGACTATATGTCCATTTTTGTCTCTACACATCGTCAGTTGTGGTTTAAATTTTTTTCCTGTCTTATTTAGGATATTATAGAACTTTCTAGTTTCATTTTGCCCCTTTAATGATTGAAGCTCTTGCATAATCTGGTTTTCGAAGGTCCGCTTTTTCCTTCGATGTATGCGTTTTTCCTCCTTCCTAAGATCTTTGTACATTTGCTCCTTATCCCGTGTTCTTCTTTGTTGCATAAGTTTATATGCATATTTTTTTCTTATAGTGATATCTTCACATTCATCGTCGAACCAACTGTTGCGTGGAGTGGATTCTTCTGGTCCTAGGACGTTGTTTGCCGCTTCCTTAGTTGTTCTTCTACATATATCTTATTTCTCGCTAGCTGTTAAATTCTCATCTGTTGTGCTTTCATGTTCAAGGTAATTTTGATACCTTTCTAGTGCACGGGGCTCTTTCAAGAGTTTTAAATTGTAGCGAGTACTTTTCTTACCCTTTTCTTTTTTTGCATTTGAGATTCTTGCTCTTATTTTTGCGCCTACTAAGAAGTGGTCTGAATCTATATTAGCTCCACGATAAGTACGTACATCCATTAGATTAGAGAAGTGCCCGGTTTCTATTAGGATGTGATCTATTTGATTTTTGGTTGTACCATCAGGCGACGTCCATGTTACTTAATGGATATTCTTATGGGGGAAGTAGGTACTTCCAACGACCATGCCCTTGGATGCTGCAAATCCTATTATTCTATTTCCATTGTCGTTGGTGACGTCATGAGTGCTGCATTTTCTGATGTATGGACTATATATATTTTCTTTCCCTATTTTTCCATTAAGATCTCCAATTATGATCTTGATGTCGTTTCTGGGACATCTATCGTAGATGGTCTCTACTTCCTCATAGAATTGATCTTTGACATCCTCTTCTTTGTCTTCGTCTTTGTCTTGCGTATAATATAATTTTTTGATTTAATAACAACTATAATATGTTTTGAATATTTTTTGTTTATTTACGTGTAATCGTTTATTTACAATCAGATTATTTTATACACTTAACAGTAAATTACAGTAGATAACAGTAAAAAAATAAATTACAATTTAATTCAGTAACTGCTTAACTGGAGGCTCTAGCAACACTCATACAAAATATAACTTCACCCCAAATGCTTTTAAGATCACTTAGGTCCATTTGTTTTATATTTATCCAATATCAATTAGCAATATCATTTAGCTTCCTTGTCTGTTGAGTTTCCTGTCGGTGTATATCTATATATTATCTGTAAGCTGTATCTGCTGTTCAATGACAAGATACATAACTCCGTTGATACTGCACAGAACTTCGTTACTTTATAAGGAGCTCGTTTGTTTACCAGAAACGCTACACCGCCTGTGATGATTTTCTGCGAAGTTTTTCTGGTATAGCTGGTGACCAGATTTTAAGATGGTACAGTTCTCCTTCGAATATTTGCCTCCCGCAGAATCCATGAGGCTGACTGATTGCTAAGTGTGATATTCTGACTATATAACTCTACTCACCTGGGGTAATTTCGTATTGATACTCGACATCTTCAACTTGAGAGGTTTTAACATATTTAAAACGCCACGCCGAGCGGGTTGGCAAGTTATTCTATACAATCCCTAAAATCAGGGGATTGCCACTTCCTCCATCCACGCCGTACCGAAGGTATTCTTCTCCGCCGTGTCTGCCGTTATGGACTTCATCCGTGACCCTGGATAAGGAAACCCCTGAAATCTGCGGAGGGCAGGGATTGATTCATTATCAATGATAGGACTATCCAGAGGAGTTCCTACCCGCTACCCGCAATAAATAAGTAAAAGTATCTAACTTAATTTTAGGTCACAAGTAAACAAATTACTCAGAAACGCACAACTCAAATTTTGCAAGAAAAATGACACCAAAAGTGAAAAGATTAGCAAAGATACAAGGGCTCTCATGGAAATACGACGAAACCTAAGCGAGAACGAAAAGGGAAACAAAGACGAATATAAAAAACTAAATAAAAGAATTTCAGCGGAAATTAGAAAAGATGTAAGAAGATATAATACTAGTGTAATTACTCAAACAGTAGAAGAGAACAAAGGTTTAAAGCTAATGAAAAGGAAACTTGCGCATAGTAAAACAGAAATATACAAGCTGAGAGATAAAGACGAAAAGGCAACAACAGATAAACAAAACATTCTGAAACTAACTAGAGCATTTTATAAAGACCTCTATACCAGCCAAAGACCATAAGACAATTTCCCGACACGAGTAAAGACTCTCATAAATCAGGGATCGGAAATACTTTTAACCCATTACTGTGTCAGAAGTAAGAGCAGCTTTAAAAGGAAATGAAAAACCATCGATCACCTGGTGATGATGCAATAAAAGCATGTGGAGAAATTTTATTAAAATCAGTAAGCGAACTGTTTACTAAATGCTTACATCCGGGTACGATTCCAAAAGACTGGAACAATGCAGTAATAGTCTTGTTACACAAAAAGGCGATATTACTAAATTAGAAAATTATAGACCCATCAGCCTCTTGACACATATGTACAAACTCTTTATGAAAATCTTAACAAAGAGGCTAACACCTAAACTTGATTTCTATCAGCCCAAAGAACAGGCAGGCTTTAGGGCAGGATATGGCACAAATGACCATTTGCATACCATAAAGATCTTAATAGAAAAGTGCATCGAGTACAACATACCACTGGTTCTTGCATTTGTCGATTACGAGAAGGCTTTTGATTCTGTAGAGTTTGAAACAATACTGGAAGCCCTAAATCAAAGCCGAATAGATTACAGGTACACGACACTAATCAAAAACATCTATCAGAACGCTACATCAAGTATACGACTGCACGAAGACACAGAAAAATTCAGCTTAGGTCGAGGAGTTAGACAAGGAGACAATATTTCATCAAAATTGTTCACGGCAGCTCTAGAGTCAATATTTAAGGGTACTCAATGGCAAGATATGGGCATCAATATAGATGGAGAAAGATTAAATCACCTAAGGTTTGCAGATGATGTTGTATTAATCGCAGATAACTTACATGATACAGTTTCTATGATGCATTCGCTTAAAAGTCTGTCTGAAAGAGCAGGATTAAAGATAAACTTTGAGAAAACTAAAATTA